TGTTTAAACGGAGGATTGTGAGGTGCGCGTATGCCCTTCCTCACTCCTAACCGAACCCCCGAACCCGATCTTTGCGCAGACCTATTTTTAGGTGACTTGTCCCACCTTATAATTTGGACGAGTGGCGACTCCCCTTTTCTTTTATATTTTCACACTTGATTTTTCAATTTATTTTGAAAAAAAAATCTTAAGTGGTCGTCAACACTCATCAAATCCTTAGGCAAAAGGAACCATGCCATATTAATCTCACCACTGCTAAAGAGTTTGACTAAAACAAAATCTTTTTGCTTCTTAAGTGTTCTTTTCATCAGCCACAGTTTGAACTCTAAAAAATATGGATCATGATATAGGTACACTCTATCAGTAGGAAAAGGATCGGCCATTCTTAAACTATTTTTCTACAAAAAAAAAAAGAGTGAAATTTGAGTTAGAGAAGATGAAGAAACTTACAACATGCAAGAAGAAAAAGCTTGATGCTTACATTGATTTGAAGAACTATTTTGCCAAATCAACAATCGGGCTTGCTTCTTTGGGTGAATTCGGATACAATGCAACAAAATCCACAAATTTTCACGAAAAATTGATGAAAAATTCAAGACCCAAGGAGGGGAAGTTCTATAATTTTTCAAAGAAAGAAAAAACTTGAAAAGTTTGTCAAAAGGTTGAAGAAGATGAAAAAAAGGGGCCAAAGCGGCTTTAAATAAATCAACCAACCACCTTTGCCACATGCCACTCATCAACATGGTTGGATATCATCCAAAGGACTACAGGCAAGGTGCATGGTATTATCTTACACTTGCTTGCATGCGATTTTTCTTAAAATCTTCTCTTTTTATGCATCAATTATGATGAAACTTTTGGAGATTTGGATCACTATCTTTTAAAAGGGAGGAAGTTATCTTTTAACTGCTAAAAACCACTTCAAAGGTAGTTTCAATTCCTTTTTGTATTCAAACCACATGTGAGCAATGTACAAAAAAATCTCTCTACTGTAACTACTTTGGATTTATTATTTTTCCAAGAAGTAATAGTGCAACCCTTACCAAAAATAGTGAGAATGCGACTCAAGTTTGCACTTCAACCTTATATTTACATCAATTAGAGTCATCGCTTAGGTATTTCTAAACTACACTAATTGCTTTTCAAATTTTGCAAGTAAATTTACAAAAAGAGGCTTAGCCAAGCATGGGAATAATTTATCATGCACAGAGTCCTTTTAACTTCATGAATATTTTCTGAGCTTTGTTTATGCTATTTATCATCTTGGCCAAATTTAGCATTGTTCTATCCATGTCGAAGCATCACCGTTAGCAACATAAGATTTCTTGGTTGGAGGCTTGCTTTAACCTTGTTCATCAATACTAGTAAAGCCACATTGTTGTTATCTATATTGTGGCTATCTATGCTCATGGCTAAATTTGGCCTAATCTCGCCCCAATTAGAGTTATACCAATATAAACAGAATACTTGGTTCGAGTCGAATCTTATCAGTATTGAATCTTTTGCAATGTGTCTGCTTCAACAAGAGGATTCGTATTACTATTACAACTCCACATTGCTTGCCATGCACTTGATTATATTTAGATAGTTTCAACAACTTGTCTCCCTTGACGCCAAGTGGGCAAACTTGCTATCTCAACTTCACCTGCCTAGGGGGCTAATGTTGAAGGATGAATTTGTATTGTTTTGAAATTCACAATATGTGTAGCACCACATCATCTAAACTGGCTTTAAACTTTTGACTAAGAAGGGCCTATATGATCTATTTCCACATCAAACATGCTATATTATATTTTCTATTAATGATTGCAATGGGATCAACATCACCAGAAATGACACTCACCCATTCCACTAAGAATGTTACAAGCATGATCTACTTCAATATCATTCTCATATACACAGCCACACACGATTGCATTTATCTCTACAACATGGCTAGGCATTTGTGATGGTCATAATCTCTATTGTAACATTTTCTACTACATCTTATTGGCTGCCAACAATGGATAAAGAGCCTATTTACTACATCTACATAACTTTTATCAAAGGATAACGAGCTGATTTTATTACATGTACATAGCTATTGACGATTGACAATGGGCCAAACACCTACTCTACCTATCTTTATTACTAGTTTCCATAAGTGGACAATGGGTTGATTCTATTATATCTACACAGCTCTAATCAATGGATAAAGGACCAGACTTGTTATTCTACTTAGCCTTCGTAAATAAGTAAAAGGCTACATATCTCTATACATTTTTACTACATCGGCTTTTGGAAATGGATAAAGGGTTGGATCTCTCTACATATTTTATTTCACTGGCTCCTAGAAACAAACAAAGAGTTAGCGCAATTTAGTACGATTAGCATGAGGCTAGCAATAGTTGCAACCTTATCATTGGTTGGGATGGCAATCCTTCAGTGATAAAAATCCATCAAGTTGTGGTTGGTGGCCCCTTAATGTTCGTCTGCTCATGGTGGTGCGATGCTCGGCAATTAAAACCAATCAAAACCATCCTTTAATGATGCAGATACATTCAAGAAAAGCCATCATTCTATCATGGTATAACACCTTATTCATATCGGAGGTGATAGATATAGCTACCATCCCCTTTTTATAGATAACACTCCAACTATTTTTACTATATTCATTGTTATGCTAGAGTTTTGAATTAATGAGAGTATCCCTTTTGCAGCTTGGCAGATAATTGGGAATGTTATTCCTTTGCTCTACCTAGTTCATACTCCAACCATGGATAAAACTAGCCACTATTGTCCCTTTGGCTATGGGAAACTATTCATGGCTGACCCTGCGATACATATGTAACATGGCCGATGGTCATGCATATTATTATTTTTTTTACAGAAAGGGGTAAAATTACTGATCATTGGTAATCCTGATCTACAACATATTTCTATTATATTTTTACATGTTAATAGGTACCACTGACTGGCAGTGCTTGACTTAGTAAAACAATACTCAGAACATATCCATATTATTCAATCTCTATCTTGGTGCATCGCCAGTCATACATAGCAATATTATATAAGTGCTTCACATGACTACGGATAAAGAGGCATAACAATGTTTATTCTTAGCATCCCCCTTGGATGCACAAGGGAGTATTTTTCTTTACTACAGATACTTACACATGTCACACTTAAATATTAGAACAAATACTCATTCATATTTTTCTCTTTGATGTAGGTGAACACCAAACCATTGAATCCAAGTTCATGGGATTATTTAAGATAAACAATGGGAGTAGTGACTTGGTAGACATGAATGGATGAACATTGCTTGCTTGGTGAAGTGTAGTATTCACGCCAACTAAACTTGAGGTTGACCATGCTACTTGTCTTTTTTAAGAAGGGATGGATGGTAAACACATGAAGGCAAAACTTGATCCCAAAACTAAACCATTTAATGCTAACCAAAAGACCTACAACCCCATTAAAAATCAACTAGAGAGACGTTTGAGTCTCAATCACCAACCTGCAGTGGTATTTAATGCATGGACAATGACACAAGTTTCACTACATGGGAAATTTGCAAAAGAGATTACATTTTACTTAGAAAGATTAACAAAATCTTAAACAAAGGAAGTTTTGTTGGCAATGCTCAATTATACACCAAATATGATATTACGTATGGATATGAAGTTGTCGAGAATGGGAAGGTTTAAGCAGACCAACAGTCCTTCACTAGAAACATTGGAAAATTCATAATTATACATCAAAAGCTATTAAAAGTGTCCAAATCAACTTAAAACTTGACACCTATCCTCATACAACCCAAATCTAACCATTAGATTGTTGGGCTACTTTGGCCCCCACAAACCAAAAAATTACCAAAATGCCACTACATATATATGTTTGATTTTTTGTTCATTTTTGACAGATTATTCACTCTACACACCTCAAATACATTTTTACTCTGAAGAAATATTCATTTTCAACCTCCCAACTCTCTTATAAAAATTTCCCAAAAATCTCCATTTCTCATATTTTCTTTATATTTCCAACCACATAAATCATTCTCCAAACCTATAGTTCATTATGGCTGGAAGATTTCACACCACTACTTAAGGTTCTAGGTCATTTTTCTTAAGTATTAGAGGATCTAGCAACAAAGTTAGCATCATAAACAGGATCAAGGCCTCTATTAAAAGCCTCCACAACAGTCATCATTCCTTCTCCCATCACTACTTTCTAATTTATTCTTCTTTGTTTTGTGCAATTTTGAGAGATATTATTATATTTTAAGCCCTAGCTGAGGGTAACTCATTTTAGAATCGAAATATTTGTTAAGGATAGTAGAGGGTACATATATTATGTTTATCTTTGTTCAATAATGTATCTTATATAAATGTATTTCTCAATTTGTAAAATTTGATCTTTATACATTTTCTACATGCCACTCTGGCTATAATGCTCATCACCCGTCCATTTTCTTTGGTAGTTGTGCAATCATGATCTGATCTTGAATTTCCATCACCATTGCTTTGCCCTTCTGGCTTGGCTAGGGAAGTCATATTTTTAGACTTTGTTGGAGAACTTTGTGCAGTTCATCTTCATTGGGTGAAGGGAGGTAACTTGTAACACGTAACCTATTGCACGTGAAATGGGTGCGAGCCAAAAAGACCCTCCTCATCTCCCACAAGAAAGCATCCTAGTCAGTTTACGTGTCATCTTCGCTTCTGACTCATCATCCCTTGCCCCTTAATAATGTAAAAATTAGACTGCAAGTTATAGGCCACCTTTGCTATATAAACTTTGTCCAAACTATTTATTTTTTTATTATTGTGAAATTTCTATTAGTGGATGTTTCACCTTTATCCTCATCATCAATCTTCCATTTGTAACCAATTTCCACTTACCATTCATGGCTTCACTTTGATGTATTCATAGCTCCACTATATAATTTTTATGGCTCTACTTTGGGGTATTCATGGTGCAACTTAAGTTTTATTCAATAGCTAATATAACCCCTATTTTTCTTTGGCTTATATATAAACCTATAAGTTTGTATGGTGATGGTTGATGAAATAAAAAGTTTATTACAAAGTTTTGCTATTTTATTATCATTTTCCTTTTATTTCATAATACATTATGAGCATAATTATCTCCACTATCCAATTCATGATAAGACCTTAAGGTAAACCTTTATTTTCTAGTTTCAATTTGTTTTTGTATTTTATTAACATTTGATGAATTTTTGTAGCCAAAATATCTAACTTGATAAAACTTGAATTATTGCTCTTGACATAACAAGCTCAAATTATTTATCGAGGATACTTGATGTGGAAATCCATTTAGTTGCAAATAATCTTGGAGAAACAATTGTTGAAGGAAATCAAGTGTTCTTACAAGATAATGCTAAAGCAATGATATTCCTCCGCCATCATCTCCATGAAGGACTAAAGGCTAAATATTTGACAATCAAAGATTTATTAGAATTATGGCAAAATTTAAAAGAAAGATATGATCAGCAAAAATCAATGATTCTACCAAAAGGCTCATTACGAATAGATGTATATGTGGCTACAAGATTTCAAATTTGTCAGTAAGTATAACTTTGCATTTTTTCAAATTTCATCTCAATTAAAATTATGCGAAGAAAATATTACTAATGAAGATATGTTGGAGAAAAAATTCTCCACAATTCATGCCTTGAATTTGCTCTTTTAGAAACAATATCGAGACTC